GATTCATAAAAATAGTTTTATTTACTATATTAGGTCATTCCGAAAGTAATTTCGCTTTTTTCAAGCGGGCGCCACATCTGATGGAACAAAGGTTTCTAAGAGATCTTGGTAACATTCGAAACAGCATTTCATTCTCTTTCTAAAGGTTATGGAATTATTGCAAAACAGTCAATGAGCTTTCAGAAAATAACCAAGATCTGCGACCTATGCTTTTTGAGGTAGTCAAGTTTCACAATTTTTTAAAACTTTCATATCAATCCTCAGAAGGAGTTCAAGTAAAGGTTTGATAGAGTAAACATTATAGAATACAGTACTGCTTTTTTCTCCTTTCCATAGCTTGTCATACATTTTTAACAGAATTTCAACCGATGCTACCGATTTCCATACTTGTGCAGCTGAATCCTCGTAGAACATCAAAAGAAAGGCAGCTCGCGCACTATCCGATGCAGCATCTTCTCCTCATTGTAACGTGTGTTTTTTGTTTCCGATTCGTTTAGTTTCCGGGGGAAAATTATCGTAACTCATTTTTTTAGCGAGCCCCAGGCTGTACCCGAAAAACTCAAATTTGATATTTCGAACCCGTAAACTCTCACTTGCTTTGTAAAATCAATGCTAACTCATAGTACCATCTTGGTAGTCGCAAATTCCGAAAAATTATGATGTTTGATGCGATTGTGGTTGAAGTGGGCCTGCCAAAATCCGATGGTTCTGCTAAAAAATCTTTTAAAAAATTACGGCGAGGTATGAGAAAGGGAAAAAAGTAGCGCTGTATTCTATAAGCTTTACTCTATCGAATCGTTACTTGAACTCCTTCTGAGGATTGATATGAAAGGTTTAAAAAATCGTGAAACTTGACCATCTCAAAAAGCATGGGTCGCAGATTTTGGTTATTTTCTGAAAGCTCATTGACTGTTTTGCAACATTTCCATAACCATTAGAAAGAGAATGAAATGCTGCATCGAACGCTTTCAAGATCTCTTAGAAACCTTTGTTCCATCAGATGTGGCGCCCGTTTGAAAAAAGCGAAATTACTTTCGGAATGACCTAATATAACGGCTAATGAGAAAAGTTTTATTGATAAAATTAAGAACTTAGATAAGGACACACACATACACATACACATACACATACACATACACATACACATACACATACACACACACACACACACACAAACAAACAAACAAACAAACTACCCATGAGATAAGATGCTCTAATCACTAGTTTGCTAGGAATTGCATACCTTTAAATCATCACTGAGTATTAATATGGTACGCACATGCAACATCTTCTTTACCTTTTACCTCTTCATCATTTCCTCTGCATGGTTTTGGACAAGGTTGTCAAGCACGTAAGTTCTTTTCTCCTTTTGGTTCTATTTGGCGCTCCCCCCTTACTAAAGAGTTCCGGGTAGGGTCGATACTAATACATTACTCCTTCTAAGGGTAGGAACGAAACGGAGTTATCAAGTCCACCATACATACAAATTTTTTTAGAACTTTCTATCTATCTTTTCCTTGTGCTACATTTTTATTGTGTTTCTGCCTAATACCAGTTGTTCCTAGGAAATAATGTCGCGTCGCATCATGTTTTATTGTGCAATATCGCGGTAGGGTGAGCACGAATAAGAGTGAATGGGATATCGACCGCTAGACCAAAGCAAGCTCCACAAAAGGAAGCTTGAACATTTGCGGCAGGTTAATTTGCATAGAATTCGGAGCCAAGTTTCAAAATCCATCAAAGGCCTAAAAATTTGTATCTCTTTTCAATTTGTATCTCTGTTTCTATCTAACTTTGACTTGCTCACGCACACTCTCTCTATGTCAGACACTGGTATGCACATGACTTTTGGATGAATGAAAAGACGAAATTTTCAAAGCAATTGATCTGATTTCGTCAACGTATGAGCCTCTGTTAAATAAGTGTTTGTTTAGTATAAATTTTTGGAAGTATAATAACGAACTTTAGCTTTTCATATGAGCTAATTTTGGAGAAAAACACATTTATTGCAAAAAAAACCAAAAAAACGCTCACATTCTCACTTTTGACCTATTTTGTTCCTCGTATTCTAGCCATAAGAAATCCAAATGTATACGTGGATGTCCGATGTGGAGAAAGCCTGAGCAAATGTGAGCCCCGTAGGAATTCTATAGGCTGAGAATCAATTTTTTGAGTATTTGAAACTATTTTGCTTCAGATTGCAACTCAAAGTTTGCTTAAAGGCAGCGTCCCACCAGAATGGCGGTACCTGGCTCTCGTAATGATGTAATAGTAGACCCCCTACCCAAGCGATGACTGAAGTTCGGAGAGAAAAAGGGCGTCTACCAAGCCTGAAATTTTGAAATTTGCTCCGAAAGTGGGCCGAATCTTACGGTAGGGCCGAACGCCATCCACACGGCACTATCGATTTGCAGAACCAGAGTGCGTATAGCGCACACATCATGAGCACAGGTACCCGCAACCACTCTGCGTCTCTACCTTGCATGCACCTCGCACTCGCCCGATCCTACCGTAGGATTCGGCTCACTTTCGGAGCAAATTTCAGGCTTTGTAAACCTCCTTTTTTGCTCCGAACTTCAGTCATCGCTTAGGTAGGGGGTCTACTATTACATCATTACGAGAGCCAGATACTCCCAGTCTAGTGGGACACTGCCTTTAAAGGCAGCATCCCACCAGATAAGGGAGTACCTGGCTTTGGTACATAAATGTGAAACTAGACCTCCTAACTAAGCGATGACGGAAGTTTGCAGCGTGAAAGGGGGTCTATGAAGTCTCGAAATTGCCCCCAAGTGGCCCGAATCTTCCGGTAGGCCCGCAATTCGAACCGCAAGGCCAGTGCACCCATAGCGCACACAGTCATGAGTGCAAGGTTTCACAACGACTCTGCGTCTCTACCTTGCATCCATCTCGTACTCGTCCGAGCCTACCGTAAGATTCGGGCCACTTAGGGGTAGATATGTAGTAGATACGTTCTACTATCCACATGCCTTCCTCGTGCTCCATAATGGTGGCTTTGAACCTTATCGGAGAAGGTGACCGTGACGAACCAAACAACCGCTCTTTTACAAAAAGTACAGTCTGGTAAGGTCGGTAAGTTCGAGAAAGGGGACAATGGCCACGTGACCTATGTCTCTGAACAGATATTTTCTTAATTTCTTAGCTGAAAACTCAAAAATCAAGGAATTATCGTCGACTCTAAAAATCGTGACGACGGTCTGCAGTGCGGCCAGTGCGCGCCGCACGGCACCCACCTAGTGATTCGCCCAAATTACGTGGAAAAGGTGAGTTCTTGTAATTTTTCTTTTTCTTTTTGCATCTTTTTTGCTTGCAGGAACTTTCATGGCTACCGCAGGGAGCCTACACTGCAGAGAAGCAAGATTGCCCTACGATAAAGCGGCAGTGCCGTGCGGCGCGCACTGGCCGCACTGCAGACCGTCGTCACGATTTTTAGAGTCGACGATACTTCATTGAACGTTTTTGGTGCCATTTTCGCACAAAAACATATTCTTGGCTCCTTTTCTTAGGCTAAAGTCGACGGTTTGCCTATACATCGCACAAAGCCATGAACTCGTAATGCACAAATACGGACGCAGTTTTACGAGCACAAAGATGCCTAAATCCGCTTGAGTATGACGCGTAAATTTCTTGAATTCCACGTATCCAATTTGCTAGAAATTTTGCATAGCGAGCCTTCATATTGATAGGCTGCTATGTATAAAACTAGCCCAAGATTTCTGCTGCAACTCGTCTACGAATTTTGTGACAGAAAGACGTCACAAAGACACACTGACAAACGGATAACTATTGTCAGCGTTATTATAGAGTCGACTGCACAAGGCACGCTGTTTTCACGCGTACTCTTAGATGCCAATCTTTTCCAAGAATATTCTAAATTTCTCAGTCACTGTTTGACGGCTTTGAGCGGATTCAAGCAGGTTCCGGGATATACAGACGGGCCCGAGCGCGGTCAGAAACATGCTATAGAGTCAAGTAGTTTCCTGCTCAATATAGGCGATTGCACTGGTAAAATGCCGTAAAATTTGCGCGGCTGAACAAATAACCACGCCCGTCGCGGATGTTTTGCTCGCACAATTGGCCGGTGTCCCAGGCGCAGTTATTTGTTCACGCGCAAATTTTACCACGTTTCACCTGCAGTGCAGGCTCTCACTTTGAGCGGAAAGGCTACTCAGATGTAGTTGGGGTTGACTGGTCTCATCGACTGCTCCGCACGCAAGTCCCTAGTAGATGGGTATAGGCTGTGTCACCCGGGATTAGTCACACACGGATATGTCGCGAAACGAACCGCGGCAATGTAACCCATCAACGAGATTTTTCCTACCATGCCCTCCAAAGAAATTTGCGGAATGTTTTTCAAATTTTTTAAAGTCTTATATCCTTATTTGAAGAGAGATGGTGGCCGAATTTAGCAGAGAAGAAGGTCCAATACTTTTCCAATCTGATGTTTAATCCCGGACGAAAGGAAGGTGGTTGCGCTCCGTTCGCACCCTTTGCAGGTCAAAAGCAGGGTCGGCAAATCCTCGATTTACAACTATTTCGCTTATCTGGGGCCATCCAATACGCTGAATAAAAAAAATCACATCTCGTAGAGAAAAGTGGCACAAAATTGGCTTTCGACCAATCTAGTAAGCCCGTTATGCCACCGCCTTCAAACCACCCACCTTCGTAAACGATAGCTAACAAGCCTTCTTTTGACTAACAACCTTGCTCCTCTAATTGTAAGGCTTTTCTTGAGCAAAGGTATTTCCAAGATGATGAAGAGGGTGTTTGATAGTTCTTATGGGAGGCTGAAAGCGTTTGGAGATCAGAGTCTTCGATAATTGCCGATAGTGGGAAAAACACTACAGCGTGTTGCCCTCTGTACTGCATGTCTTTTTTGTTTTCTTTTGGACTTTTCTTTGCCAACAATTATATCATCGCTAAGCTCTCCTACGGTACCTTGCCTTATTTGCGCATTTTGTGCTCTTAAGACGAACTGTGGCATGGCGATTCGTGGACAATGTTTAATCTGCGAGGAAATGTTTAATTCGAAAAACCTGTCAGCTTTGCCTTGTGGACATGTTTTCCATGAATGCATTCAAAGATGGTTTGAGGTAGGTAAAATTGTCCCCAATCATCTTTCCCCCCTTCTATACATTCTGTTTTCAGCACACGGATACACCCACTTGTCTAAGTTGTGGAGCTTCCATCAACAAAGATCTAATAGTACGTCGCCTCTTCTTCGATGCTTGCGATAATCAAAACGATGATGAACTTATGGTAGCTCTCACAGAGTCTGCTTTCTCACGTGCTGAAACGGAAATACAAGAACTCAAGAACGATAAGAAAGAAGTAGAAGACAAGGTATGAGCGGTTCAACCCAAGCCGAGATAGGGCTTAACTGTGGCCCATCAGCGTCTCTCTAATCAAAACTCTTCCGTATCTCTTATTATCTGCTGCCTCTTCCATGCACGCACAAGGCGGAGTTACTGCACGCATTATTTAAGTGGCATTTAAGCTCTAAGCTCATCGCGCGCAAGATTCGGACGTAACGGCGTCTTTTTCTTGCGTCCGGTAACTATTCTAGAGCTCATCAAAGATTTTTTCAACTTTTCCACTTCATCGTATTCCAGCTCGCACTAGAACTGGGAAAAGTTGCTTCGTTTGGGATGCAGATTTACAACCAAAATAGGTTAGTCCAACTTACCTTGGATTGACAGAGAGTGAAGGCAGTGTACTTGCAGGCAATTGGATGAAGCAACTGATTTACAGAAAGAACTTATAGGAGAATTATATGAAGAGCAGGAAAAACTGAAGATTCTTCGGGAAAATGAGAGCGATTTGTTACTATGCATTCGGGTTTGTAATACCTCGAATTTCAAGCAGTATGTGTTAATTTTCAGGATTTGGAAGAACAACTGAGGATCTCAAAGAGTAACGAAAACGACTCAAAAATTCTTATCAAGGCTTGTGGCAACTTAGATTTCAAGCATTATATCTTATTTTTTAGAATATGGAAGAACAACTGAGGATTTCAAAGAAAAACCAGAATGACTCAAAACTTCTTATCAAGGACTCAAACCTTTATATTGAGGTTTGTAGCACCTTGGGTTCCAAACAGCACATCTTTTTTTAGAATTTGGAAGAACAACTGAGGATCACAAAGAAAAACGAAAACGACTCAGAAGTTCTCATCAAGGTTTATGACACCTTGGGTTCCAAGCAGTATGTCTTACTATTCAGAATCTGGAAGAACAACTGAGGGTCTTAAAGGAAAACCAGAATGACTCAGAACTTCTTATCATGGATTCACATCTTCATATCGTGGTTTGTACTACCTTGGGTTCCAACCAATTTATCTTACTTTTTAGAATTTGGAAGAACAACTGAGGATCTCAAAGAAAAACGAGGACGACTCAAAACTTCTTGTCAAGGTTTCTATTGTCGCCTACCCAATGTACATTGGGTGGAGCATTTGCAGATATCTGAACACGTTGGTGAACTTGTTAACACTCTACTGCGAGTCATTGTTCTTGGTAATCTCTCGCTACCAACTCTGCCGCGTATGACAACAACATACATACGTGGCAGTTCAGAGTGCTAAAAGAACCATACTTGGCAGTAGAGGTTTGACAAGTCAAGTCATGTCGGGTTTCAAGCAGTATAATTTTCAGAATTTGGAAGAACAATTGGAGATCTCAAAGAAAAACGAGGAAGACTTAAAACTTCTTGTCAAGGTTTATAGCGCCTTAAGTTTCAACAGTGTATCCTACTGTTCAGAATTTGGAAGAAGAACTGAGGGTCTCAAAGAAAGACGAGGACGAATCAAAACTGCTTGTCAAGGTTTGTACCACCTTTGGAATTCAAACAGTGTATCTTATTTTGCAGAATTTGGAAGAACAGCAAAGGATTTTACAGAAAAACCAGAACGACTCAATACTTTTTATTAAGGACTCAGATCCTCATATCGAGGTTTGTAGCACTTTAGGTTCCAAGCAGTATATCTCATTTTTCAGAATTTGGATGAGCAACTGAGGATTTCAAAGAAAGACGAAAACAACTCAAAACTTTTTATCAAGGTTTTTATCGTCGCCATTGCCATCGCATTTCTTTCGTCGGTTCCCTATCTATATCTTCGTGTGTCGTAACGTTTTGTATTGTTATTTTCTACCGTTATAGCGAATAAATTGATAATTATAGGTTCGTAGTGTGCATAGCAAGAGCTACTCAGATGACGGAGTTTAGCCGGCAGCTACAAAGCCACCGCCACCACCCCACCAAAAGCTCCTTCCCCTATCGCCTCACTGTCGCTTAGTGCTGAGGACCGCAGAAACAAGCGGGCTACAAATATGGCACTGAGCGGGCCGCTAAAACTGGCAGTGGGTGGACTGCTATAGGGTATTCGACCGTGAGAAAAAATAGTCTCGAAAACTTTGAGATTTCGACTAATATTCGGTAGTAGAATATTCGGTAGTCGAATACTCGAGAACCTCAGCTTTCGAATTATTCGATATTCGGATATTCGATCGTCATTTTCGATCATTTGGTTTTCCTCGAATATTCGCTTCGATGAGCACTGACTATTCGAGAATACGATGAGCATCGAATATTTGGAAATTCGATATCCACAACATACACGGGTGTTCCAAGTGTAGCTACACACTGTTCGATCGCTGATACGTCTCAAGAAGTCTTTTGCCAGCCCTTGGGTAACAACCTGTATTATGGCTTCAGCCTCGAAACACAGCAAGTGATTCACCCATGTTTTTCATGTTTGTTATTCGGTAAAAACTTCCAGCATATAGGGCAACTGCGAAATAGGACAAGTAAATCCCCCAATTTTACTAAGCACGGGTTTTATTTCAAATGCGCAATCACATTTTTGAAAAACGATCAAAAAATTTGTTACGGTACTTCTGGCATAAGTTCTATAGAAAGCATTACGGATGAGTTCAAATTTTATATGCAGTGAGTGCCTTTAGAAGTCTAACGTGTGCTAAGCTGGGCTATTCCTACATAGACGATGTATAGTATGAACCTTTATGAATACCATTATGAATTTTTTGCTTTCTAAGTGCTTTATTTCTCGAGAAATAAGAAATTCAGCGTAAAAACTCAGAAAAAGTGAAATTTTTGGGTTTTTTCGTAATCGATTATTTTGCTTTACGATCTAGCCATGGAAAAATTCAGCCAATGCAAACATATACGTCTGATGTAAGGATTGTACAAGGTGTTCCAAGAAGATGTGCACACTGTTTGATCGTTAATAACTCTCTTGGCTTTCATGTCTTTTACCGTGCTTAAGGTATCATTCAGTAGAGCAAGGTTCAACTTAGATTTACAATATGAAGCGCGAATCACCAAACACTCTTCATCACTGTAGGATTACGGTATGAACATGTAGCATACAGCGTCACTGTACAATAGGGCTTTTGATAAATCAATGCAAAAAATCTGGAATGTGGAAGGTTTTCGGGCGTGCTGATTTCATGAAAACACTTTTTACTAATTGGCGACCTTTCTCGATGGCGTACACATTTCTGACGAAATTTGGAAAAACAGTTGTTGCACCAAACTTGAAATAACATATGAAAGAAGCATTAACACATTGACAACCAAAGCCTTTCTCGGACCAGCCAAAATTTTTCAGATAAAATCACGCACAGTTCCATTTACAGTACATCTAGCGTTGGAATGCTGGCAAAAACGTAGAGGTTGTATCTAGATTCAGCATAAAAAAAACTCCCAGAGTTGATGTGAAGCAAATTAGTAGCCATCTCAATGGGAGTCATGGCGTGTCAAGCCTTGACACACCATGTGTGTCAAGCGGTCGTCAATGTGTTAAAGTAAAGTGTAAACTTTATATCTAAAATCAGCGACTTCGGTTAGTTCAGTACAAGAGTTTTGGCATGCTTGTTCCTTTTCGAGGCAAAATATCACTTTGGATGGCTTGAAATCCTTCTCGAAGTTCGTACCATAATTCTACAGCAGTGAAGAGTGATTGCAAATTCGTTCCATACTGTAAATCTAAAAAGAAGGATACCAATATTAGTTGGCAATTGAAGATGAGATGTATATCATTATATGCGTCTTTGAGCGCCAATTCCAAATCTGCTTTCCTTTTTTGCGGAATAAGTTCCCAAAAGAAGTTATGAGCGTTTGAGCGCTTATGAGCATTTGTCCAGATTTGCCAAGCATTGAGTGGCTTAAAATCAGCGAAAAGCTCTAAAACAACACCTATGCGATTTTTACCGGCTTTTTCTTTGCAAAAATATACTCGATAAAAAAATGATTTTCCACTCTACGGTATTTTTGTGCAGTTTTCGCTAATTTTAGGCTACCTAAATCTTGACAAATTTGGACATTTGGACGCCAACAACTTCTTTCGAAAACCTGTATTGCAAAAAAGGAAAGCAGATTTGTAATCAGCGTTCAAAGACGCGCCCACTTACATGGATCTCTTCTTCAATCGCCGACTAATGTTGGTATCCTTCTCTTGTAAGTTAAACCTCACTCTACAGAATGATATTGTACTTAATCTCGAGAGCTGTTGTTGATCAAACAATGTACACATCTTTTTCGGACACCCCGTATACCTGAGCACCCTGTATACCTAAGCTGGAGGTCCGCAGAATTTTTCTGGGCTAATATCGGATTTTCGGGCATTCAATAATTTTTGAATTCTGGCTCCAAACTTCAGGTGCATCAAACCTTTTGCGATTTCTCGAAGGTCATCTTGTAGAGCTTGCGTTGCTTTATCGAACAGCCGCTCAAACTCTAATTTGAAATGTTGAGTTTAGTTGATTTCCCCCGATATGAAAAGACTCATGGGACAACCTAGTAATTGTGTGCGTCTCTCCTCTCCGTACACTCTTTCTGTGTCAGATGCATCAAAACCGCGCCGCCGCATTGAAAACGGCTTTAAGGCTATATTGCCTTACAAGAGAACAATACTAAGTGTCCGTGGCCTTCTGAGATGAAATGCATACCATTACACTCGTCTTCGAACTCTGATTCCGAATCTGGCTTTCGTTTCTGCTAATCTTTCCTCCGAAGGAAGTTATGAAAGATTTTCGCGCCAAGTTTGGCCGCTCGAGGCAAATACGATAGGAACACCAACATGGTAACATGCTAAAAATATTCAAAATAAAAATAAATAAATAAAAATATGCATTCACTTTCCCTTCATTTTCATTTTTAAGGCACCTTTTGAATAAATCTAGGAAGCACCTATAAAAATGACTCCTTATTAGATTTTCACCGAGTAAGGACATGCTTTATTTGGAGGAAACCTAACTTCAAAAAGAAGCTTGACTAAGGCAATGCAAAACTGAAAATACAAAAGGATTTTATTTTTAGCATGTTACCATGTTGGTCCTATCGTATCTACACTTCCACTTCAACTTGTAGGCAGAGGGGGGGGTCGCGAAATTTTTGCGAAAACTTGCGAAACTTTTGCGAAAACCTTTTGCGCATCGATTATCAATGAAAAGTAAAAGCTTACCATCAAAGCCGCGGTGAAAATTCTTCCAGATGTTAGAGCAAACATGCAAATTACAACCAATGTGTCCATCGAATGGTTTACGCTATGTAGCTCCAAAAAATTATTGTGAGCTAAGCAAATCCAGGATTTCCTCCCTCCTCCCCCCCCCCCCCCTTCTTTGTTCTTATTCTGAGCTCAAGGAAATTTTATGGATTTCAAAACTTACGCCAGAACCACAATGAGCAGCTGGACGACATCAACATATCGATAATACCAGCCATATAAGCAGCAGAAGTGTAATGCATCACATGACATGTGGAGGAACTGAAGTAGAAGGGATCATCACGGGTAAACGTAAAATATGTAACTCATTGGATTTGTGTCTTACAAGGAAAGGATACTTAGGTCCGTATGCACGTACATCCTCGCTGGGGAGGGAAGGGGATCTGAGAGGGGATGAACAATATTTCGCTTCTCTAGGTATCTTTCTTCTTCCTTCTCCATCTTGCTTATGAAACTCTCATACCCCTATTACCTGCGCATAATTTATGCCAGGTTACTGACATAAATGATTACATTTTCATTATTTTGTGCAATCCCTGGGGATCCACAGGGGATACGGCACTGTTAAGCATGTTTTCGATAGGAAAAATGGAATCTGAAAATTGTGAATTGATGATTCCTAGCTCGCGAGCCAAGGATTACCGAAGATTTCGATATCCTGAGATTTTACTTATTTCTTCTATAAATATCTTTAGCAGTGCCGTAGTATATCCACAGTACAATTTTACAGCGTTTTCATTGAGTTTTCAGAAAGATACATGGTACTGAAATACTTATGGATATCGTCACCCTCTTTAATGATCGATACCATATTAGATAATGACTAAGCCTCGGACGTCCACAAAAAACACTTTCTAACACACAAGTTTATCCTTATGGCACCAAAAATAAGATCAACAAATAATACTCCGCGGAAAAACAAATAACAACAGAACAATTAGAATAAAAGGATCTGAGCCAGAAGACGAGGTGGCTCCGTCGTCGTACGTTCCTCACTGTCTCGAAGTCGCTCCTCCCTCTCTGTCTGGCGGTGTCTGGCGAGCATCGGCATCGGGCAATCTGTAAACAAATCATATGGGAATGGAATGATACAGCAATGATGTAATAATGTAAGAAAGTAATAAGTGTAGGATTACATACCGGAGTATACAGATGATATCTTACAAAATTGAGGAGTGGATCCCCAGGGAATCCCCTGGGGATCCCCACTGATCACACAAAATAGTGAAAATCTAATAATTTATGTTAGTAACCTGGCATAAATTGTGCGCAGGTATTAGGGTATGGGAGCATTCATATGCAAGATAGAGGAGGAAGAAGAGCGTACCTAAAGAAGCGAGATATGACGCATCTCCTCTCAGATCCCCTCCCCTTCCCAGCGGGGATGTATATGCATACGGGCCTTAGTGGCCCAGGTCATTTGAAATTCGATGTATACCATTAAGTGCATCTCGAAACGCTGATTCTAAATCTGTGTTTGAAACCCGTGAAACGATCATATGAACGCGGTCATGAACTTTTTTAGTAGCAAATTTGCATACTTTTAGGTAGTCAAAATTTCCCAACTTGAACTATTTCACCGTTTGAAGCTATTGAGGAGAA